AGGCCTGATCAGTTTCCGTTTCAGTACTGGTCCTTAATTGCAAGTTGCCCACCAACCCCCACCCACCGACCTTTGCTAGCCCTTGGAGATCAGGTAGGTTTTTGTTGTGTTGTCCATAAGTTGCCTCAGTATCTCCTTAGAATCAATGCATTCAGTGTGTATCATCACTGTCACTGACCTTCCTGGCATTTGATGAACATCCTCTCGCTTCCCTTCTGTCTTCATCCCTGTTGCTGGAACAATCATTTCAACATACTGTAAAAGTAGAGGATTTTTCTCCTTGCAGAGAAAAAGGTCGACTTAAATTTTAATATTTCCTGTGAAAACCACTGCCTCTTATGAGACATGGGGATTCAGAGGCTCTTTTTTGTCATCATCAGATGCATAAGTTGGGACAAGGTAATCTCAAGGTAATTTGTTCTGCTTTTGACCCCACATTTGCATTGCAAAGCCTTCTACCTCTGTACTCAGACTGGTTGTCTATGATTTACAGAGCAGACCGGAGAAAGATGACAGTACTGTTGAATTAGTCTTTTATTATGGTCCAAGAGCATTTTCTCTGAGAGCAGGTAAATCTAAAGTATGAAGCATTTTGTGGGCTTTATCACTGGCAAAAGGACAGGTCGTTTGGGGGGGGCGATGACTCAGTGGCTGTATAATGAAGCTCCAGTCTTGTGCACTTTTATCACTCTATGCACTACAACATCAGGGGCCACTTTATTGTATCTGTAAAATCTAATGCAGTCCAGTACAAATGATCGTATGATGTCTACATGTATAATGTTCTTTTCTTTTTTCTCTTATAGGTTTGTTAAATTATATGGTTTAAGATCAAGGTGATATTGTGTTGCATTGGGCTACATTATATTTAGAGGTGTTTCTGATATTCTGCCCTTTTTGTGAAGGTATGTACATTAAAAACACCTTATATCCATATATAAACGTTGTAAAGGTAGAATACACGGCTGAGCTGCTGTACTGGCTTGCACTAGACTGCACATGTGTACCTAATAAAATGGTCACTGCCGCTATATATTTCTCAGCTCCTAAAAATAGTACGCACAATTAATGTAGACATTTTAATTTTACCTCATGGATTATTCATATGTTCCT